CAACTGATGAATGGATAAATATGTGGTTTATATATACAATGGAGTACTACTTGACAATGAGAAAGAATAAAATCTTGCCATTTACAACATTGATGGAACTGGAGGGTATTATGTTAAGTATAATAAGTCAGGCAGAAAAACACAGATATCATATGTTTTCATTCACATGTGGAATTTGAGAAACTTAACAGAAGACCATGGGTAAAGGAAAGGGGAAAAAATAGTTTCTTTTTTTTTTTATTTTTTTTAATTTTTTTATTTATTTATTTTTTTTTTTTGGAAAAAATAGTTTCAAACAAACAGAGAGGGAGGTGAACCATAAGAGACTCTTAAATACAAAGAACAAATTGAGGATTGATGGCAGGTGTGGGGGGCAGGGGAAAATGGGTGATGGGCTTTGAGGAGGGCACTTGTTGGGATGAGCACTGTGTGTTGTATGTAAGTGAGGAATCATGGGAATCTACTCCTGAGGCCAAGAGCACACTGTACACACTGTCTGTTAGCCAACTTGACAATAAATTATATTAACAAAACAAAACAAAACACAAGGAACAATCTGGAAACCCTTCCTAATCATATTTTTTCCTCTAATTATGCCATAATTTGAAATCCAATAGCATCAACCTTGAATACATTTGCAGTGTTCTTCCACTCTAAATAAAATTCATTTATTTTATTTTATTTTTTTATTTAAATTCAAGTTAGTTAACATACAGTGTAGTCTTGGCGTCAGGGGTAAAACCCAGTGATTCATCTCTTACATATGACACCTGATACTCATCCCAACAAATGTCCTCCTTAATGCCCACCACCAGTCTACCCATTTCCCCATTCCCCTCTCCTCCAACAACCCTCATTTTTTTCTCTGTATTTAAGGATCTCTTATGGTTTGCCTTCCTCTCTGTTTTTATCTTATTTTTCCCTCTCTTCTCCTATGTTTATCTGTTGTGTTTCTCAAATTCCACATATGAGTGAAATTATATGATAGCTGTCTTTCTCTGATGGACTTATTTCACTTAGCATAATACCCTCTAGTTCCATCCATGTTATTGCGAATGGATAAAAATTTAGACTTCTATTTGAAGTCAGAGATGGGATGCTTACAGTTTTTGATTAGGCATTTCCCTCCCCCCCCCAATTTTTTCCATAATACAATGAAGATTTTCCAGAGAAGATAGATCACTTGAATTCTATTTGCTATAACAAAAATAATTATTTTAAAGTGTTTTATTCTGAAATGCAGTTTTCTGTTTTGAGAAAGGAAAATAGACAATGCAAATCCTGGTTAAAATGTAGAAATTTGAGAAGAAATTCATTTCAGGGATTCTTTGTGCTGGGTTCCATTCTCGCCTACTTTGTACACTCAAACATATTTGTTGAATTCAAATTGTGATAATCAGTACTTCTTTAATTCCTGGCTATATATTTTTTGATAAGTTACTTCTTTCCCTTTTTATTCTGCCCATAACTGCTTATCCTTGACACACCTCAGTCCCTTTGTACATATCTCATTGTAACTTAGTTATCACTATTTTCCCTCCTTCTTTCTTGTAATGATATAGGAAAATATAGATATTCCATTGGTATCAACATTACTGTTTCATTTAAAATATGTACACCCTTGAAGGAATATATGACTGAAAGACACTTTTTAATTTAATTTACTAAAGTATTTAGTCGAAGAATATAATCCACTTACATTTATTGTCAAATGGAAATTCTTTACATTAATCCAACCACAATATATTGCATTTTCCCTTTCTTATACCTTTTGTGTTGTTTTCTTATTTCTCATTGCTTATTGATACTGGTTGATGAAATGCCATTGCTTCCCAGACCATATTCCTAATAGTACTCATGGATTCCTCCAGGTTTGTGCAAATACATTTAGACTTTATGTCTTTATCAATATCCACAGTATATAAAAATTTCTCTTATTTCAACTGACATAAACATGCTTTTATCCTACTTCCACCCTGACTACCCACGAATATCTGAGGTTTATTCTTCTAATGGCTTTTACCTTTGATTTTGTTTCAATTTTGGTTTTTTGACATTAAGTACTTTTAACTTTGCCTTAAGCATCTTTAAGAAAGTTTTAAACCATTACAATAAGTTTTATAAAACACATTGTCACCAGCATCCTTCACAGAGCTATAACAAACAATTCTAAAATTTCTATGGAACCACAAAAGACCTCGAATAAGCAGAGTAATGTTGAAAATGAAAACCAAAGCTGGAGGTATTATAATTCCAGTCTCCAACCTGTATTAAAAAGCTGTAATCATCAAGACAGTATGGCAATGGTACAAAAACAGAACAGAGATCAAAGGAACGGAATAGAGAACCCAGAAATGGGCCCAGAAACGTATGGGCAGTTAATTTTTGACAAAGCAGGGAAGAGTACCCAATGGACAAAAGATAGCTTCTTCAGTAAATGGGGCTGGGAAAACTGGACGGCAGCATGCAGAAGAATGAACCTGGACCACTTTCTTACACTACACACAAGCATAAATTCAAAATGAATGAAAGACCTAAATGTGAGATAGGAAACCTTCAAAACCCTAGAGGAGAAAACAGGCAACAACCTCTTTGACCTTGGCGGTAGCAACTTCCTACTAGACATGTCTCTGGAGGGAAGCAAAATGAACTATTGGGGCCTCATCAAGATGAAAACCGTCTGCACAACAAAGGAAACAATCAATGAACCCAAAAAGGCAACCACAGAATGAGAGAAGATATTTGCAAATGACATATCAGATAAAGGGTTAGTATCCAAAATCTATAAGGAACTTACCAAACTCAACCCCCCCCCAACAATCCAGTGAAGAAATGGGCAGAAGACATGAATAGACATTTTTGCAAAGAAGACATCCAGATGGCCAACAGACACATGAAAAGATGCTCAACATCACTCATCAGCAGAGAAATACAAATCAAAACTACAATGAGGTACCACCTCACACCTGTCACAATGGCTAAAATTAATATCACAAGAAACAACAGGTGTTGGCAAGGATGTGGAGAAAGGGGAACCCTCTTGCATTGTTGGTGGGAATGCAAACTGGTGCAGCTACTCTGGAAAACAGTACGGAGGTTCCTCAAAAAATTAAAAGTAGAACTACCCTATGAGCCAGCAATTGCACTACTAGTTATCTCTCCAAGGGACAGAGGTGCACTGTTTTGAAGGGGGCACATGTACTCCAACGTTTATAGCAGCACTAGCAACAATAGCCAAAGTATTGAAGGTGCCCAAATGCCCATCGACAGATGAATGGTGGTACATGTATACACTGGAGTATAACTTGGCAATCAAAAAGAATGAAATCTTGCCATTTGCAACAGCTTGGATGGAAGTAAGGGGTATTATGCTAAGTGAAATAAGTCCATCAGAGAAAGACAGATATCATCTTATTTAACTCATATGTGGAATTTGAGAAACACAACAGATAAACAGAGAAGAATGGAGGGAAAAATAAGATAAAAGCAGAGAGGGAGGCAAACCAGAAGAGACTCTGCAATACAGAGAAGCAGCTGAGGGTTGCTGGAGGGGAGGTGGGGGCGTGGGGGATGGGCACGCAGGAGGCACTTGCTGGGATGAGCACTGGGTGTCGTATGTAAGTGATGAGTCACTGGATTTTGCTCCTGAAACGAATACTACACTGTATGTTAACTAAATTGAATTTAAATAAATAAAAATTAAAAAATTAAAATGCATCCCTAAGGGAAAACAAAACAAAATGATTATCTTGACTTAATTTTGAATTTTACTAGAGTGAATGACTATCACTATTTCTCCTACTTCATAGCTTCTTTTCCTTCATGTTTGTTATTCTCATCTTCTGTTTGTTTGACTGATACAGAACTTGACCGTGTAAAGGAGACATGTTTTCCGAATCTTGTGAATACACACGTCTGTGTTGTAGGTACTTGTAGTGAAGTCTGTGCTGCTGACATTCTTGTTACCCAGTTTCGTGCGTGGAGAGACGTCCAGGCGAGCCAGCAAGCGTGATGTATGTGGGCTCTGCTAACAACTGGGAGTCACTCCATGGTTTCCAGAGGCGTCCTCTGAGCATGGCAGGTGCCCTTCCGTTCCACGGGAGAGCCCCATTCGGCGTGCTTTCCTCCCACGTGTCAGCAGGGAGTCAGCCACACAGGGGACCCTGTAGGAAGGTGAGATTCTGTGGCTCTTCTCTGTTTCCCCCCTGGGAGTTACCCCCAAAAGAGCTGAGTTTCAACATAGGAGGCACAGCATGTGCGGGGACTCGGAACGCGGCAGCTGGAGGGCGGCCTTCCCAAGAGCAAGACTGGGGGAGCCCCACTCTGATTGCAAGCCCCGTGTGCAAAATGGGGGATCCAGGTCACCGGCAAAAAGCCTGGCTTTCAAGAGGAAGGACGGAGGTGAGGTGCAAGTCTTTAATTCTGGAGCCTGGAAGTGAAGAATAGAGAAAAACGGTACTCTGATGGATAAATAATCAGGGCAAGGTTAAATGATCTGGTCTTCATTTTGCTGCATTTACCCCACGGACCGAGGGCCAGATGGGTCACAAACCTGTGTGTAGACTGCAGTCCTGGCCAGATGTGTCACCACCAGTGAAATCAAAGTGCTTCCATATCACCCTGTATCTCACTCCTCTGTTACGAATCAAAGTAAAATCTCCCGTAAACTCATTGCCCGTCATCATGGTGTTTTGTGAACGTCCTGGACCGGCTGTGTATGCACCCTGCATCATTTCTTCTTCAAAGACTTTCGGTCCTCACGTGTGCACGCAACATGCACACGCACACACACAGACATGGGCACACGCTCGCACAGATACTCTACCTGATCCACGCAGACTGTGGCTATTCTGTCTCTCTGGGCTTCTGCCACGCAATTGGCTACAGACCACCTATGACCTCATAATCCACCATGAGGTTCATGTCAATTTTAGAACTGCAGCATGATGTCATTTTGAGCGAGGCCCTGTCTTATTTTATTATTTGTCCCAGGGCACCAAGTACAGGGCTCTGCACCAGATAGATTCTCAATAATTGTTTGTCAATCAAGTGATCACGGCTAATATTTTAGGAACTCCTTGAGGAGCAGCAGCATGATCAGAGCACCCAGGGAAAGGCGCAGGGCATGCCCGCTGGGGGGTTGCCCACACCAGGTGTGGGTCTACACGTTTCCTCCGCATTCTTATATAACGAAGTAAGATGCTGGCTAAAAATACAAGTTTTAGAGATTTTTTTTTCCACTTGGATTGGAGCTGAATTGCTTTGCACATTCTTTGGAGAAACAACTGAAATTCTGTTAGTTAGCACTATGAGTCAGCTGTCTATATTTATGACACTGGCTTTATGGAGTGCATATATTTATTAGGGAACGGCACCTGAGGGAATAAGGAAATCAAGACGAATGTCTTAGGTTGCCTCTCTGTGATACCTGAGCAACTTACATTTTCTACCAAATCAGTAAAAAAAAATCATGCAAGCATGCAAGTTAATTGTTTAGAATTTTGAGTGCAGGAAATCTGAGAGAACGAGTTTTTCATTTTTCATTATTTTTGCTTCATGTAGACATGATTCAAATACTAAGAATTACATCGTACCTTTAGACTAGATGCATGAACACCGTTTGTAACTGACAGTCTCCATCTTTGCGCACTCATTTGTTAGGTGAAGGATGCATTTCTGGTTCCACGTCAGGCATCAAAATTCATTGGAAACAGACAATCATTGGAGAAATATTTTCTTCCATCAGTGCAGATCAAGGTACGACCCTCAGTGTAAGTGTGCCCCACGGAGTCAGGGCAAAGGGATGTTTTTCTCCCTGAGACAAACCAACTTGAATGTATGTACTGTTCTAGGAAGAAAGGGGGCACGGCAAGGGAGGTGGCCGGTCACGGAGCCGGCAAGAACACTGGTGACGAGGGGGCATCGCCGAGGGCAGGCAAGGGGAGGAGGCCGAGTGACCAGTATGAACGTGGGAAATGAGGTCTCTTGCCGGAATTGCAGCCACGTGTGGTGGGGACCCTCCTCCAAAGCGTACACTCTCTGCCCGTCAACGCCGTGAAATCACATGAGGCAGATCTGGACCGAGCCTGGGGAAGCTGCAGCGTGTGCCAGGGTGGAGGGTGCTCGACTCTCCACCGGTGCAGGAATGGGAGATGCGGGCAACTGCTATTTATAGGACAGAGGACAACCTGATCCACGTTAGGTTTTTACGGTGACTGAGGAGTATTGTCCTGTTGAAACGTGTTACAGGTTAAGTATCAGTTTTAATCGTTCAGCCTCCTCTCTAGGAGAGGCTCCGTGGCAAGGTTTATGCAGGGCACCAGTGGGTGTAGAATGGGCACAGTAGACCCCTGCACGGACACTAGGAGAAGGGGATGGGGCTCAAGTTAAATATGGGATGGGGGAGGGGAAGAGTTCTTTGCAGAGGCTGGAAATAAAAGAAGGTAATGGGCCTGGTTTCTAGTGGGAGGGGCACAGATCAACCACCGGGCTTCTGCTGTGGATACACCCCACGGATGTGGTACACATCCTTGTTAGAGAGGCAATCAATTAAACGGTTGACATTTTCTCTGATATTTAAGTCAAAGACTCACTATAAATCTAAGTAGCTATTTACTCAGGGTACAGCTTCTCTTCCTGTGTTTGAAGCTTGTCAATGAGTAGACGCATTTATCCATCCTTCTGCGGTTCTAAACAAACACGGCGGAGAGCCGGGATTGTACAGGGAATAAAAGCCACAAGAGAAAAGCAGTCTAGATATCATCTGTATTTACAAATTCATTTTCTTGGGGCGTAATTGGTAAAGTGGAAGCATAAATTTCATTGCCTCTCTTCCAGCTATTTTTAGGGTGGTGTTTGGGAGCTCGGGGGTGGGGGTGAATGCTCAGTGCCCCCGCCCTCCTGCAGCTGTCTGCCAGTCCTGACATGCTGGCTGAGTGCGACCTGAGGCAGAGCCTTGAAATGGAAATGTGTGGGATAAGGGGCGGGGGGAGGGTGGGCACAGGGTCGAAAGCAGATGTCTTGCAGGATTGCTTTCTCTGTGGGTCTCGTAGGTGCCGCAAAGGCAGTAAGCGCTTCTCAGTAAATAACCTGAGAAACTCCTATGTGTAGGAGAGGACTGGCTGGTCTTTCGGAAGAAGAACCTAGCGGTTTCCTTTATGTGGAAATTTCTTAACAGCCATTCTGTATAATTCTCAGGGGAATGTCTCTTTTGTGTCTAACGCTCCTGCCCAAGAATGTTGGGGGGGGGGGGTGTTCCGCATGCTGCTTTTGATAGTTATTTTATTTTCTAAAGGAACCGAGCTTTGATTACATTTTGAGAAATGAATCTGTGACTAATACCCTAGATGAACTTTCTTTGGCTGAGACATTAAACAAATTTTTATCTTTATCTTTATCCATTCTTTATCTTGCTCATTTGAAAAAAGTGAATCATGAGCAGAATTTGATGACTACTTGGCTTAGCTGTAGAATTCAGGGCTGATCGTGGGTATGGATGTAATGGGTTAATCAGTTTAGTAAATTGGATATGAACTTCAGAGTCAAAAGCTAAATTCGAAAACAGACATTCTACACAACACTTGTCCTTTAGGAAAATAATATACCCACGCGTATGCAAGGGATACATTTAAAATTCTGAGATTGTGTCATATTATGTTGAGCAAATGTAGCTGGTCTATCTTCTACCCTTAGGGGGTTATGATCATCTATTACAGCGTTAATTCTGGCTGTGGCCCCCAACATGAGCCTGTCTCGTAGCATCCAGTGCTAAATTGGAGATCTTTATATTTGTGATACTTGCATTTTTATTTTGTGTTCTACGCTCTTTATATCTGTTTGTTATGTCATAGCTGACAAGGTTCTCAATACTCCACTCTGAATAGATTTCTGCATTTTGGTGACACCGTTTCAAATGGTTTTGAAACTCAACATTAGATTGTCTTTTAGGGAGTTACTGCTTCCTTTTACTGTTTTTATTTATCTTTTTTTGTTTTGTTTTGTTTTCTGGGTTTCCCCCACCCTCGGTCTTTGTTGTTTGTTTCCCTGTTTATCTAGGCCAGTGATTTGGAAAAGAAATTCAAAACTATTTCTTTAATTATTTATGTTTTTACCTACCTAATGATAGAAACCACATTTTGGATTCTGTAAGGTGAGAGATTTATTACCCTTTTATTGTTCATACCGTTCCTTATATTCATACTGAAAAATACCTGGTCTTCCTAAAAAAATTTTTGTTTTAAATTATCTGATTTATTGACCAATATTTTACCACACTTAAAATAGTGGACTGAGGTTTATGCTTAACAGTTTTCCAAGGCCATTTGTTATTTTAGTCCGAATTTTTGGTCCTAGTTTAGACCTAAATTACTTCAGTTTGCATTTGAATTGCTTACTGCCCAATAAATGCATAGCTGAAATTGTGTTTAAATTCTTTTTCTTTTCAAGGACAAGAGCCTGGTTTATAATCTGCACGTCATTATTGCTGATGCTCTTGTTCGTACCGTGGCCCGTCAAGGAAAACCTGGCTGCTTATAAAATCCTCAAGTTCCTGTTTTTACTGCAAGTTGCCTAAAAATGATGCCCAGTGTCCTTTAAAAATTAGGGCCGGACAGGATGATGAGGCTACTGTGATCTTTATTTATACTTTGGAATTGTTTTTATCAATATGCCTGTACGTTATTCTATTTAGTTTTTATAATTAAATTTTGCCCCATTTTTATGTCATTGTTTTATTTAAATTTCAAAAATAAGCAGCACATGGTGGTCCGTCTTTACTTTCAAAGTTTGCTTTGGATTTGTGTCTTTGGTCTCGGCTTCACTTCCCGTTTTCCCATGTTTTCCCTCAGGTTCACCGAATAAATATTCAGCTTGGACCTTGCGTCTCTGCGTTCCATTTCTACCACCTCAGCATGGACTTACACCTCGTCACCCTTGCTCTTTGCTAAGGTCGTTTTTTCCATGTCACTTATACGTGTGTCATTCGATTTTATACATTAATGAATTCTAAAGTGAGTTTGAGTTCTTGCACACGCCAGGCCTCGCCCCCCTCCCCCCAAGCTGTGCCCTCACCTTCATGTTGCCCCAGCGTGGCCACCTCTCCGACCTTTGGCTTCACCTTTAGTTCACAGAGGCCATCTTAGTATGTCCTGTTATGAGCCACTCCCCCTTTGTCTAGATTTCCCCTGGCTCCTCAGGAATTCACCTTCTGCTGTATTACGTTTTCACCAATCTTTAGGCTTCTCTTCCCCTTGTTCCGGTGACATCATGGTGACGCCCAAGGAGTCGTATCAGGGGGCCCCTCCTCTTGAGTGCAAGTGGGACCTGCCACTGGCTTCTTGCCAACACAATATGGCAAAGGGGAGGCCTGTCACCATCCTGGTGGCTGAAGGCACATTCTGCTGCTGGTGTTGGAGCGACTGGCTCTCAGGCGTTGGCCACGGCCACCGGCTCCCCAGTGACAGCCAGGGAAACCCGGACCCCAGTATCCACAACTACAAGGAGCCGAGTCCCGCCCACAAGCCTGGGCTCGGAGGAAAACCCTGAGCTCCAGATGTGTCCAGACTCCTGGCCACCAGACGGACCACGTGTGCTGCTTTCAGCTGCTGAGATCTGGGTAACTGTTCACTCAGTGAAGGAAAACAACACCCTTGTTCTGCAGAACTTCGAAAACTCTATGTTGATGCCTCTCCTTATTCTTTTTTTAAGTTTTTTTTAAAGCTTTTTAATTAATTATTTATTTATTTTAAAAATTTTAATGTTTATTTTTGAAAGCGACAGAGCACGAGCTAGGGGAGGGTCAGAGAGAGAGGGAGACGCAGAACCCAAAGACAGGCTCCAGACTCTGAGATGGCTGTCCTCACTGAGCCCGACGCGGGGCTCGAACCTATCGACTATGAGATCATGACTGAGTCAGACACTTTACCAACCAAGCCACCCAGGCACCCCTTGTTTTTTTTTAACAAACATTAAAAAAATATATATGTTTATTTCTTTTGAGAGAGAGAGCACAAGCAGGGAAGGGGCAGAGAGAGAAAAGGAGAGAGAGAATCCCAAGCAGGCTCCACGTCGTCAGTGCGGAGCCTAAAGCGGGGCTCAGTCTTATGAAACAGGGAGATCATGACCTGAGCTGAAATCAAGAGTCAGACACTCTGGCTGAGCTCCCCAGGCGCCCCATCTCCTTATTCACTTTTATACACAATCCCATGGCCAAATACCCTCATTTATTGTGTAAACAATTGCTTTGCTTTCGTCATTGTTAGACTGAAGAAACAACAGACCCAGAACCAAAGCTGTGTGTTTTGTATAAGTTTACTTGAAGGTAAATACGTATTTTTTGTCTGTCATTTATAGGAGCTCTTCAGGTTGCTTTCTGGCCTCGTAGAGATTACTCTCCATGCCTAGAAAATATTGGTGATATTAGCCAAGAGTATCTAGTTGGGGCAATTTCGATTTACAGCTGAGAATCAAATCTCACCTTTTTGTCGGCATCCACAGTCTCTTCTAAAGCTGTGACTCTGCTGAATGTCAAATACGGGAAACATGCATAAAATTTACCCCAAAATAATAATCCTAGTGCATTTTTAAAATTACGTTCTGGCTCATTGCCACAACGAAGACCCTTGGGTCCCTGGGAAGTCTATATTTTTGTGTTAAATGGATATTCTGGTGTCAACAGGACCACAGTAAGTCTTCCTGGAGAAGGTGACTGATGCAGTTATGTTCACTCCGTGTTCTCATCTTCTGTTCCTGAGGACGCTTAATAAAGAATTTCTCACGATGCACTTGGCAGCGCAGGTCTACGCAAGCTGTGGAATGAAGTGGAACTTCCCACACATGCTCCGTGTACTTTTTTTTTTTTTTAAGGTTTTTTAAAAATTTATTTCTAGGAGAGAGAGAGAGAGACAGCGTGAGCAGGGGAGGGTCAGAGAGAGAGGGAGTCACAGACCGAAACAGGCTCCAGGCTCTGAGCTGGCAGTCAGCACAGAGCCCGACGCGGGGCCCGAACCCACGAACCTCGAGATCATGACCTAAGTGAAAGTCGGACGCTTAACCGACTAAGCCACCCAGGCACCCCAACCCGTGTACTTTTGCAAAGCTCTCTCTGAAGATGAGGAGAGAAAGCCGCCGCTCCCCTCTGGAGGCCAGGGGGTGGTTCACCCCAGGGGAATCTGCTCTCAACCGCCCCTCCAATGGGGCCACATTCCAGAAGAATGTTTTGGAGCCTGCACCACCCCCTGCCCCCTGAATTAGTCAGTTGGGGGTGCCGTAACAGGTACCCCCGACTCAGGCTGAAACAGCAGACCTTCACCCCCTGCATGCTGGAGGCGGGGAGGCCAGGATCGGGGGGTGGGCAGGCTGGTTCCTCCCGAAGGCTCCCTGCTGGACGTGTAGATGCTGCCTTCTCTCCGTGTCCTCACGCGGTCATCCCTCTGTGTGTGTGTGTGTGTGTGTGTGTGTGTGTGTGTGTGTGCGTCCTGATCTCTTCTTATAAGGACCCCAGTCAGATTGGATTAGTGACCTCATTCCACCTCAGTCACCTCTCTAAAGATCCCTTCTCCAAATACACTCACACTCTGAGGTCCTGGGAATTAGATTTCAGAGTAAGAATTCCGTGTGGACACAATGAAGCCCACGCAGAGCCTGTTCCTGCATCCCGACCATCAGTACTGGCGTCATGATTTCAGCCTCAGACTGATCCTGGTTCAAAATAGCCCAACACCCACAGAGGCTCCCGGGCCCGCTGGCGGTGAATCGGAGCAAGTGGGGGTTTCGTGGTCTCTCTGCTGATCTCCAGAATTCCCTCAGGCTGCCGAACTCAGATGGCGTCTTCAGGCGGAGGCTGGGCCTCGGTGCCTTCCATGCTTCTTCAAACAGGGAGCTCTGGCGTGCAATGGCACACAGATGCCGGGATCCTTTTCTTGCTGTGAAGTCATGCAGGTGCACAATCCGCATGACTTTCTTTAAAAAATCATAACATAAATAATAAATGTGAGTGTAACTGATTATCAACATTGGTAAAAATAATCTAAGAGTGTTCTTGCAACAAACATCGGGTAGGGCGGCGTAGCTAAATGCACTATTCAGTCTAACGCCCGCTGAAAAGATGAAATAGCTTGCCATTTTAATATAAAAGCAAAGCCAAGGTGGGGAGGGAGAATTAATTTATGGAAGAAGAAATGACTTACGGAGAGTCTCCATATCTTGGGAAAATGTATCTGTTAGCAGTGACATATGGGCTTCTCTTTAAAAGCATAAGCTCTTTCAGATCCCATTAGGCATGCGTTTTTCTAAATAGTTACTTTTGAACTTCATAAACAAGCCAAACAACATATGGAATGATTATGATTTGCATAAAATATGATGTGGGAAATGTCCCACAAATGGTTCTTAAGTTGTTGCACACTTTTTTTTGAAGAAACAACAAATTCCAAAGGAAAAAAACCGGCTTCAATTTATGCTTAATTTTTTTTCAGTTGACCTCAGTTCTAATAAGGACCTTGTTTTCTTCCTTCTCCTTTCTTTCTCTTTCTCTTTCTTCTTCCTTCTCCTCCTCCTCCTCCTCCTTCTTTGTCTTGTGTCTCTCCCCTCCCCTCCCCTCTCTTCCCCTCCCCTCCCCTCCCCTCTCTTCCCCTCCCCTCCCCTCCCCTCCAGTCCCCTCCCCTCCCCTCCCTTTCAGAACTAGTTTTCTAAGATCTTCTTTCGCTCCAGCAAAGTGCCTCCCATCATTTATCTGGAGCTGACTGAACCCTTTCTGGTCACAAACGGCATTCCGTGCCTGTGACCTTGCTCTAGAACGTGTGAGCTGGCCCGGCACTGAGGAGGCAACAAGAGCAGAGTCCACGGTGAGTCTCTCCGGCCACTGGGAGGGGACTTCCCTTGGGTTGTGTGACAGTGTGTACCATGTCACCCCCAGGGACACCAAGAAGAAGCTGTCTGTGACTGTGTGTGACCCGCGGCGCTGCAGGGACACCCAGGGCCCCGTGCAGCCCCCACAGCTTCAACATGACCCCATCCACTTGCACACATCACTACTACCCTGCGCTCATGGGGACACTGGGCCGTGGGTAATGGGAGGGGCGGGGCGGTGCGACCGTATCTCAGTGTGTCCTGAAGTTGATTGTATTGTGTCCGTTCATTTGATTTGTCCCTCCTTCTCCAAATCCTGGAGGGCAGCCAAATGTCGAGCACCGTGCCCAGTGACAGCGTCATCAGGTGAGTAAAACTTTATTTTCTTACAATAGGCGCATGTTATTTAGACAATCAGGAAAAAACCCCACAAAATGAAGGCACATTCTCTGTGAAATACGATGGGTAAACATAAGAAGATTAGACTGTAATTTTACGGAGGACAAGAACTGTATTTTCTCTATCACTATATATCATAAAATGTCTTGCTGAATACTTTTTATAAGTTAATTTATTTAAAACAGGCTCTAAGCCCAACGTGGGGGCTTGAACCCACAATCCAAGAAAGAACTGGAGTTGTATACTCTGGTGACTGAGTCAGCAGGGAGCCCCTCTTGCTGGGTACTTTTGCATATATGTTTAGTAAATATTTTTGAATAACTAATTCTGAGATCCAAAGACATTAAATATTATTCACTATAAGAAATTTCAGAGGCACCAGGGTGGCTCAGTCGGTTAAACGGCTGACTTCAGCTCAG